CCCCCACTCCCCCACCCCCAACATCCCAAGAAACATTGGGTTTTTTGTTACAATCACGAGGTGGATTTGTTTCCATTTTTTTATTTTCATGAAGTTTAGGTTTGTGTTCACGTAAAACCGATTAACATTTGATTTTGATCATAGTGACCAAAAAGAGATAGTACCTTTAACTCAAGATTTAAAAAAACCCCGAGATATCGGCTTGCTCAGCGCGCTGCTGTTGCCAAGACATGCGTCAGCAGATTAGGACTATCTGCCACCTGAGAAAACGGTACGTGGTGACTTGGTCTATTCCAAACCCACCCAGAACTGGCTATCCAATGGTACAAACGCCTTATATCAGGTCAATACACCTGAGAAATCGTTTCAGGACAACTGTTTAAACCGCAAGACCATTTCCTTCAGAATATTTCGTCAGCCGACATACTGTTCGCTGCAGACTGTGGGAATTCGAGATTGAAGCTATGATGTCTACATACAGACTGTGGATTCAAGATTGAAGCTATGATGCCTACATACACACTGCGTTAACAGCCAAACCACCGCCAGGCTAGAATGAACTGGTCACAGCTACCCCGCTGAAGGACTTGGATCAGTAGGACACCGTCACCTTCTCTGGTGATTCTCAATTCCAATTTGAACGCCACGATGGGAGTGCAAAAGTGTACAGGAGATCACATGAGCTCTGTCTGCCACTTCTTCAACAGCACAATCAGCCCATAACATTCCAACAGGGCAATGCTCCCTCTCACTGTACACTCCACTCGGTATCTAATTCATGAAAAGAAAAAAATAACGCCCGTACAATGAATTTACGGCCTGCCAATTCATCATGTTGTAATAAATTGGGCACCAGTGGGGCAGGATTAACTGTTCTGTTTGTGACTTGAATCCAGGCATTACAGCTGTAGCAAGCCCTCATCAATGCCTGAAACAATATTTTACTGGAAGACGTCTGTACTCGGTGGGCAGGAGATGCACTAATGTACTGGAAGTACACAGAGATCATACGGCGAACTTATGTGTGACTTTAAAAAAATTATAACCGTATTGCCAAATTTCAGTTATAAAAGAAACTGGAAAAAATAATCATTCTACCTTGATTTATCTATGAGAATACTTCATATTCAAGTTTCATAGTTTTAAAAAATCATTATTTTTCTACAGGAAAGGAGAATCCATCTAACATATATAGTGGTACATCATGTACCCTTTTCCGGATCGCCCGCATGTTGTTATAAGTACATGTAGTAGTATTACAAATGAAATATACCAAAGTGTGATACGTTTTGGTGACATATTGGCATTTTCCTAACAACTATAATAGAACACTGCATTCAACTTTGAAACAAACAAGATAAACAAAATGATCGTACCAAAAAAAAGTCATATGAGATATTTGGTAAGATGGGAATTTCTAACTTCCTCTTTGAAGAAGTAGATTGCCCATTTATACAATGGCACTGAGAGATGTGTGAGGTAAGAAATCACTTCCTACGACGACCC